TGCCTTGACTCTCTTTTCTGAATTCTGTTTACCTTGAAACGGCTTGCCCTGATTCTGTTTCCGTTGTTCTATTTGTCCCGTTCTCTTTGCCTGTTTGTCCAGAGGAGAAGAGGAGGGCGAGGAGGGCGAGGAGGGGAGGAGGAGCGGCGGAACAGAAGCATTCATCTCTTCTCTTCTCTGGTAACTAACCCTCTTCGCTTGCCGTATTTCTGTTTCCGTGAGCTCGGTTTGCCTATCTTCCTGCCTTGACTCTGTTTTCCGATTTTTTTTGCCTTGAAACGGCTTGCCCTGATTCTGTTTCCCTTGTTCTGTTTGTCCCGTTCTCTTTGCCTGGTTTGTACAGAGGAGAAGAGGAGGGCGAGGAGGGGAGGAGGAGCGGCAGAACAGAAGCATTCGTCTCTTCTCTTCTCTGGTAACTAACCCTCTTCGCTTGCCATACTTCTGTTTCCGTGAGCTCGGATTGCCTATCTTCCATCCTTGACTCTCTTTTCTGAATTCTGTTTGCCTTGAAATGGCTTGCCCTGATTCTGTTTCCCTTGTTCTGTTTGTCCCGTTCTCTTTGCCTGGTTTGTCCAGAGGAGAAGAGGAGGGCGAGGAGGAGAGGAGGAGCGGCGGAACAGAAGCACTCGTCTCTTCTCTTCTCTGGTAACCCTCTTCGCTTGCCATACTTCTGTTTCCGTGAGCTCGGTTTGCCTATCTTCCTGCCTTGACTCTCTTTTCTGAATTCTGTTTGCCTTGAAACGGCTTGCCCTGATTCTGTTTCCGTTGTTCTATTTGTCCCGTTCTCTTTGCCTGTTTGTCCAGAGGAGAAGAGGAGGGCGAGGAGGGGAGGAGGAGCGGCGGAACAGAAGCATTCATCTCTTCTCTTCTCTGGTAACTAACCCTCTTCGCTTGCCGTATTTCTGTTTCTGTGAGCTCGGTTTGCCTATCTTCCTGCCTTGACTCTGTTTTCCGATTTTTTTTTGCCTTGAAACGGCTTGCCCTGATTCTGTTTCCCTTGTTCTGTTTGTCCCGTTCTCTTTGCCTGGTTTGTACAGAGGAGAAGAGGAGGGCGAGGAGGGGAGGAGGAGCGGCAGAACAGAAGCATTCGTCTCTTCTCTTCTCTGGTAACTAACCCTCTTCGCTTGCCATACTTCTGTTTCCGTGAGCTCGGATTGCCTATCTTCCATCCTTGACTCTCTTTTCTGAATTCTGTTTGCCTTGAAATGGCTTGCCCTGATTCTGTTTCCCTTGTTCTGTTTGTCCCGTTCTCTTTGCCTGGTTTGTCCAGAGGAGAAGAGGAGGGCGAGGAGGAGAGGAGGAGCGGCGGAACAGAAGCACTCGTCTCTTCTCTTCTCTGGTAACTTTCTTCGCTTTCCATACTTCTGTTTCCGTGAGCTCGGTTTGCCTATCTTCCTGCCTTGACTCTGTTTTCCGATTTCTGTTTGCCTTGAAACGGCTTGCGCTGATGCTTTGTGTGTTGACCTTGTTTCAGGCAAGACCAAGACAGGTGGGCTCTCATCATTCTCGGTAAGATGTGTTTCTGGTCGTGTTTCGCGGAGGAGCCAGCAGGGGAGCGCTGCAGCCGTCGGACTGTAAGTGGGGGTTTAGGGGCAGTTGCCCTGAGGCATGCGGGCAGAGGCCCGGAGTGGTGAGGTTCATGTTTGCAGCAGCTGTGGTTGTGCCTACCAACGTAGGCACAACAAGCGGCATCCATTGTGTTGTTTTGTGGTGTGGTGTGGTGTGGTGTGGAGTGGAGTGGTGTGGTGTGGAGTGGTGTGGTGTGGTGTGGTGTGGTGTGTTGTTACCTTTTTCCCCCCTCTCTCTCTCCCCTCTCTTCCCTCCCTCCCTCCCTCTCCCCACCCCTCCCCCCAACAGGTGTCCTAAGCAAAAGCCCCCACCTCAACGTGGTGCTTAGGTGTAACGCAGGGGGCTTGCCTCCCTGCGGCCAAGAGGGGTCCAACATTCCGAGCTCGTGGACAGTGGAGCAGCGCCTCAGAGCTCGTGGACAGTGGAGCAGCACCCCATACCATAGCAATTGTGATGCAATAATTAGATAATAATTGCTACATTTTAGGACTGGCTTTCACTAGCTACCTTGTACCGGTACCGTATGCATTTAGCGCTGTAGACTTGCTGCCATGATACCGGAACAATAGACATTATGGTACAGCAACATCAGAGTAATAATATTTTGGAAACCATTGCAATCAGTGAACCCGTGGCACTAGCAATAATGATAATTATATCATAATGATACTCACATGTTAGTAGTAGATATCTACTACTGGTGGTGCATGCAGTTTCAACTAGACAAGGCCCATTGGATGTAGAGGCACTGTTGTCATGCTGAGCTGTGTGGTCAGGGACGAGCAAGGGAGGCCAGTCGACCATGGAAAAGAGTGGCAATGCCCTGCAGTCCAAAGGCGTTGACACCAGCAAGGGCCGCTGAAGCTGACGTTGGTACCTGAGAACTTCTTAGTGGCAGTATATACTCTCTGGTGTATCATGACCATGAAAAGAAGAATGTGCATTGCACTGTTTTGAAACACTGCTCAGACAAGCTGGCTTGTAACGTGTACTTTCACAATCAGCCCACTTTCCGTGGCAAGCTAACCACAGTCCATCCAGCAGCCGCTGCATTTTCCACCACACAGCCACCACTCTCAACCACTCCACCTCCACCCTCCACCATTTCAACATCTTCCTGTTCTCCCTGCCATCCCATTCTTTCTCCACCACTCGTAACACCGGAGCCAACGCTACCAATGGCACCAACAGGAGAATTGGATCGACAAATGACAGCTGGAGCAAGCTCCGAGCGAGCAGAGGCAGGGAGGGGGAGGATGCGGATGCGGCGGGTGGGGGGAGAGCCAGTGTACTGCCAGGAGAGGGGGTAGTCATTGATCAGCTGCAGCTGCAGGGAGAGGATGCGCGGGGCGCGTGGTAGCAGGTCCACTGCTTGTGCTGCGCTCCCCATCATGCTCTCCGCTGCCATGCGCGCCTCCTGCGGGGTGGATGGAACCACAGGCACAGGCGGGTAGGACGGAAAGGCAGAGAAGACAAAGAAGAGAGTCACAAAGAAGAGAGTCACAAATGGCCTGTCCTTGGACAAGACATGCTCTCTGTGTGCTGCCATTAGATAGGAGGGTCATCAGGGGTGGGAAAGGAAGAGAGGGCATCACGAATCACCGACAAGCACTGTACTTGTCTGGTGCACACGAGTTCTGGAAGCGCTGGGCACGGTGGAGTGCCTCTGGCCCACTCCAGTCAGCAGCACCGTCACCCCATGGCCCTCACCTCCAGCGCATCAATCTCGTCCTCCAATGAACCTCCGCCAGCCCCTCTTGTTGCCTCCTCGTCCTCTCCAGCCCCACCCACCCAACTGCCGCTGCTGCTGCTGCGAATGCCGATGCTGCTGCTACCGCCACCCTTGCTGCTCTCATCTTGCAAGGTTGAGAGTTGGTTGGGCGGTGTGGATGACGCTATAGCAACATCAGGAAGGGGCGCGTTGCGAGAAAGAGTAGCAGAAGGGGAAGAGTGAGGCGGAGAGGCGGCGTATGAGGCAGAGGAGGAGGAGGAGGAGGAGGAGGAGGAGGAGGGAGGCGGAGAGGTGAGAGTGGGGAGGTTGAGGATGGCACGAAGAGCCCGCACCACCTGAGACGCCGTGTTGGCCTGGGAAGGGACACACAGAGAGGGGGAGGGAGGTGTTGAGCATGTGTGGTGGAGAGAGAGGCGAGTGACAGCATTGTGAGAACAGGATGAAGACATGACATCTCACAACCCACCTTGACAGCGTAGATGGGGAGGTGGCGGAACTTGGCGACCCCGCGCAGCCACGCGTTGCCCTTGAGCTTGGAGCGCAGTGCCAGCACGGCGTCTGCTGCTGCAATGTCCGTGGTGAGGGAGATGAGTGGTGCCAACCCCATCACCTCCACCACCTGCTCCACGTGCTCCTCCGATACCTGCGCGCAGGGGAGCAACAGCCAAGCAGGATTTGATCCCAATCAGACATAGTGGCAGTCAGTGCCGCCAAGAGGGATGCCAGCCTCCACCACCTGCTCCACATGCTCCTCCGATACCTGCTCACAGGGGAATTGACAATGAATGGTGGAGTTAAAGATGGTCGGACCCAGCACAGGCATGCAGCAAATGCACACACAACACGCCCCAACCTGGCAGAGTTTGAGTGCTCTCACACGCAAACAGCACAGGCGTCCAGCATCCGCCCACGGCACATCTGGTAGAGGAAGAGCAGGGTTGAGATGTCGGAACGAGTGGCCTGGGAGAACGCTGAAAGGCCAGAGGCGCATTGCCTTGAGACCAGGATGGTGATGGTGATGGTGATGGTGATGGTGATGATGATGGTGATGGTGATGGTGATGGTGATGCTGATGCTGATGCTGATGCTGATGCTAATGCTGATGCGCTGATGCTGATGCTGATGCTGATGCGCTGATGCGGATGCTGATGCGCGGATGCTGATTCGCTGATGCTGATGCTGATGCTGATACTGATGCTGATGCTGATGCTGATGCTGATGCTGATGTGCTGATGCTGATGCTGATGCGCTGATGCTGATGCGCTGATGCTGATGTGCTGATGCTGACGCTGATGCTGATGCGCTGATGCTGATGCTGATGCGCTGATGCTGATGCGCTGATGCTGATGCTGATGCTGATGCTGATGTGCTGATGCTGATGTGCTGATGCTGATGTGCTGATGCTGACGCTGATGCTGATGCGCTGATGCTGATGCGCTGATGCTGATGCTGATGCTGATGCGCTGATGCTGATGCTGATGCTTATGCGCTGATGCTGATGCTGATGCTGATGCTTATGCGCTGATGCTGATGCGCCGATGCTGATGCTGATGTGCTGATGCTGATGTGCTGATGCTGACGCTGATGCTGATGCGCTGATGCTGATGCGCTGATGCTGATGCTGATGCTGATGCGCTGATGCTGATGCTGATGCTTATGCGCTGATGCTGATGCTGATGCTGATGCTTATGCGCTGATGCTAATGCGCTGATGCTGATGCTGATGCTGATGCTGACGCTGATGCTGATGCTGATGCGCTGATGCTGATGCTGGATGCTGATGCTGCTGCTGATGCTGATGCTGATGCTGATGCTGATGCTGATGCTGCTGCTGCTGCTGCTGCTGCTGCTGCTGCTGCTGCTGCTGCTGCTGCTGCTGCTGCTGCTGCTGCTGCTGCTGCTGCTGCTGCTGCTGCTGCTGCTGCTGCTGCTGCTGCTGCTGCTGCTGCTGCTGCTGCTGCTGCTGCTGCTGCTGCTGCTGCTGCTGCTGCTGCTGCTGCTGCTGCTGCTGCTGCTGCTGCTGCTGCTGCTGCTGCTGCTGCTGCTGCTGCTGCTGCTGCTGCTGCTGCTGCTGCTGCTGCTGCTGCTGCTGCTGCTGCTGCTGCTGCTGCTGCTGCTGCTGCTGCTGCTGCTGCTGCTGCTGCTGCTGCTGCTGCTGCTGCTGCTGCTGCTGATGCTGATGCGCTGATGCTGATGCGCTGATGCTGATGCTGATGCTGATGCTGATATGCTGATGCTGATGCTGAAGCTGATGCGGATGCTGATGCTGATGCGGATGCGGATGCTGATGCCGATGCTGATGCTGATGGTGCTGGTGTGAGGTGATGGTGCTGGTGTGAGGTGATGGTGCTGGTGATGCGCACACAACAGGCCCACACCTGGTAGAGGAAGAGCAGGGTTGAGTTGTCGGAACGCGTGGCCTGGGCGAACGCCGAGAGGCCAGCAGGCGCCCCCCCTTGAGACCAGGATGCTGATGCTGATGCTGATGCTGATGCTGATGATGCGGAGATGGATGCAGAGCTGCTAGTTGTGCCGGCACCTGTGCTGGTTGATCTGCTGGCCATGCCGCCCCACCACATGGCAGACCTCCCCCACTGCTCACCACCACCACCATCACCATCAGTATCACTAGCAGCACCATCGCCATAAACATCAACGTCGCTGCCCTCACTGTCTGTGTCGCTGCCGCTGCTCTCCCCGCTGCTGCCACCGTTAGAAGCAAAGCCCAAGGGAGTGGCGGAGGGAGAGGCAGAGGGAGAGGAGGAGGGAGAGGCAGAGGGTGATGGTGCATGGGAGGGCCGTGCGGGACTGCCTCTCTCTCTTTGCCTGCCACCGCCCTCCCTGGGCTGCGCTGCATCCCACTCCCTCACACCCATCGCTCCCACTGCTCCCTCGCTTCCTAGACTCTGCCACCCCTGCTCGTCCCACGAACCGGCTCGCGAGATACCGCTGTCGCCGTTGCTGCTGCGGCCACCGACAGGGATACCGCCACTGCTGCTGCTGCCGCCTCTGCCGGTGCTAACAGCATCGCCATCCACCCACACCTCCCCGTGCTGCCCCATCTCCCGTACCTCCACCTGCGGTGCCTTGCCTGTGAGGAAACCATGGGGGCAGTGGCGTGGCGAGCACACGGGAGGGAAGGAGAGGATGGGAGAAGGGAGGCCGAAAGTGAGGGTTGTGAGACAGATGGCTTGATAGGATCAGTTTGAGGAGGGATGTGCGAGTCCGTACCCACTCCAAGGCCCGGGGCTGAGTCAGAATCATTTCCCCCCTTGTCCCCAAGGACAATAGGCCATTTCAAATGATCAGTGAATCACCTGAGAGCAGCGGCGAATCACCTGAGAGCAGCGGCGAATCACCTGAGAGCAGAGCGTCAACAATGGCAGCAAGGCAGCGGTGCACGGTCCAGCGGCCATGTGCATCTCACCTGCTGCTTGGAACAACCTTTGAAACGATTTGTCTCTACAAGGATGAATCACCTGAGAGCAGCGCATCCACAGTGGCAGCAAGGTTGCGGTGCACAGACCATCGCCCCCGGGAGTGCATCTCCACAGCCGCTTGGAACACGGGCGGGCCTCCCCTCTCCATCACACTCTTCTGCACTCCCCTCCTCCTCGCCTCCTCGTCTCCCAGCGTCACTGTCTGCACGCAGGAGAGAGGGAAAGGATCGGGAGGGGGAGTGTAGGTGAGGGAGTGAGAGAAGGACCTCTGTTGCACTACTTGCACCCCTCTCCACCCACCCACACGCCCCCTGTCAGCTAGGGCAGGTGCCGGTTCTCCACCTGCACCCCTCTGCACCCACCTGCACGCCCCCTGCGAGTGTGTGCAGGTGAGGGCTCTTGACAAGGTTCTCCACAGTGCAGTTTCCAAGGTGCCTATCCTCTGCACCCCCATCTATACCCCTTTCGTACATGCACACCCCCTGCCAGTGCATGCAAGTGCGGGTCCTTGACCAGGTTCTTAATAGAACAGCACGGCGTGAGCCATGGCAACGAGCTGCTCGCCCCGCTGCGCTATGGGGCCGCCGTTGCTGCCCCCCCCATCCCCCCCTGCACGCCTCTGCTGTTCCCCCATCTATTACCCCCCTCCCCACTGCACCCACCCACCTGCACCCCTCTGCACCCACCTGCACGCCCCCTGCCAGTGTGTGCAGGTGCGGGTTCTTGACCAGGTTCTCCACAGAGCGACCATGAGCCGTGGCAATGAGCTGCACGCCCCGCTGCGCTATCGTGGCCGCTGCTGCCGCCTCCAGCTCCGACCCGATCTCATCGATTATCACCACCTGTGGCATGTGATTCTCCACCGCCTCTATCATCACCTGGTGTACAACGGGGGTGCAGGGTAAGAGGGGGTGGGGTGGGAGGCAAAAGTTGGAGGGATGTGGGCACACAAGTGATTCACCGCACAGACACTTTCCCAGCTCCGGCCTGATCTCATTAAAAATCACCACCTGTGGCATGTGATGTGATTCTCCACCGCCTCTATCATCACCTGATGCAGGGAGGGGGTTGGTGGGGGGAAAGGTGAGGCGTGAGGGGGGGTTGTCGCAGAGAGAAAAGAGCAGAGCACGTGGCACGTGGTTGGTTCTCCACCAACCCTGCTGCCACACACACTCACGCGCCTGGGTGCTGCCGTGCCACCCCCTCAACCATCTAATGCTGCCGCCCAGTCCACCGTCCACCTGGTGTTGCCGCCCAGCCCATTTGGTGGTGCTGCAGCTCCACATGCGGCACTTGCAGCACCGAGAGCGGATGGCAGCATGGGTGATGTCTCCATCACCTGCGATCTCCACTGCCGAGCATGTGGCACAAACAGGGTTCTCCACTGCCCATGCTGTTACTCACACTCTCACCCACCTGGTGCTGCAGCTCCACATGCGGCACTTGCATGCGCCGTGCTGATCCAATGGCGGCATGGGCAATGTCCCCATCGCCTGCGATCTCGTTGCTCGTATCCACCACCACTACCCTCCGTGCGCACTCGTCCGCTAGTATTCGCGCCACCTCCCTGCACGAGGGGTATGGAGCAGGGAGAGGTATGGGATGTAAGGTGAGGGTCATGGGTCACGGGTGCTCTTCCCAGACCTCATAGCCGTGCTCTCCCCCGTTGCCTAATGGCCGTGGTCTTCCCCACGCCCTGTGCGCCCATGAGCAGCACAAACTCCCTCCCCGCCTCCCTTTTCAACATCCCCCCTCTCCCCCATTACCTGATAGCGGTGGTCTTCCCCACGCCCGGCGCGCCCATGAGCAGCACGGACTCCCCCCCCGCCACCAGGTCGCGCACCATCTCCGCGCTGCCCGAAATCGCGCGCCCCACGCGGCACGTCAGCCCGATGATCCTCCCCGCGCGGTTGCGGATGGCGCTGATGCGGTGCAGCGTGCGGTCTATCCCCGCGCGGTTGTCCGCTCCGAACTCCCCAACCTGCGCGGAGCGGAAGGGCGGCGAGAGGGAAGGGGGGGGAGGGAATGGGGGGAGGAGGTGACGAGGGGAGAAGGCAGGGGAAACGGGAAAGGAAGTGGATGAGATGGAGAGTGACGACGCGCACTGAAGAAGGCGTATGCGGGCGGTGGCGAGGTGAGTGGCGCTTGCACGGAGGGAGCTTGCAATGAGCATGCGGTGTGAGAGCTGGCGAGGGAAAGCGAAGAGTGCGGAGAGGGAAATAATGAAGGATGTTACCTGTGACACGCAGTATTCAATGTCGCCCGCTGTTACCACGTCGTCGCACACGAAAACGTCGCCCACGGGGAACCGTGCGACGGGCCGACGGCCGAGATCGAGAACGACCTCCACCAGCGAATGGACGGCCGGATGCCGCTGCAGAACGTCTCGAACCTTCTCCGGAAGCATCGTCAGAAGCTTCGTCAGCTCCTCCCCGAAGCCCTCGGCCGGCGGAAAATCTAGAACGGCGCGCGGCGTCGGATCAGGGAGGGACGGTCGTGGGGAGAGATCTGGGCCATCCGTATCGCTGGCGGAAGCGGCGGAGGCGGAGATCGCACGGACGCGCGAGAGTGGCGGGCGGAACGATACGAGGCAGGACACGCTAAGGGAATCGCGCGCGCCGGGTGAAAACAGAGCGGCAGTGGGAATGGGCGGCGAGGTAGAACTGGGTCGGCAACTGGGAGGCGAGCGACGATCGGCAATACCGAGGCAGCGCGAGGCGCCATTCTCCGCAGCAGGCGAGAGCGCGCGGGCGAGCAAATCGGTGGTAACGCCGGCGCTCCACGCGGCCATGGTCGGAGGAATGCGGGGAGCAGTGGGGAGGCGAGGCGGGTGGAATGCCGCTGCGACTAGCAGTGGTGCACAGCGCGCGGCACGATTGCGGTGCGTAAAGCGGGTGGCGTTCTGCAGGCGATCATGCCGTGCGTAATAGAGGCACTTTTTAACTCTAATTCCCTAATGCTACTCGACAGAACAGAGTGCTGAGTATTGACACAGAACCAGGAGGTTAGTGCTTACATGAGTGCCACGCTTCATGGCTGTCTCGCGACCACGTCACATTCCAAAGGAGTTTCACATTTGGTTGATAAAATGTATTGTGACGCGGGTTGTGTAGGGTGATTGAATAAAACGCTGGTTGTTTTCTCAATGACGCGTACAAATCTCCGAGTCAAACCGGGTCCCTCACCAGCGCTTCCAGAAGGTGCTTCTCCAAGCCAAGCCAATCCCAAAGCTCCAGACTTCACAGATTCCAGAAGCAAATACCGTCGTTTCCTGCCAAGCGTACTCCCCTACCCTGTCAATGCATCCATCTCACTCGCGGCCTGCATTCATCTCTCACTCACCACTGCTTGTCCTCATCACGTTCGCCCACCGATTAGACTGCTACTGCCATCGCAGCTTTCGCCTTTGTCGCTGATCGATCATTGCGACCGCATTAACCTGTTCACGACTGCGATAGTCGCGGTCGCCGTGTGAGTTGTCGCACTCATGGTCGCAGCCATGGCGGCTCGCCGTCGAATCGCCATGTCGCCGAAGCTGCTCGCCGCGCTCGCCATCGCGGTGCGCCTCGTCGCTCTCGCCGCCGCCATGTTCGCGCCGGACGGGTAAATCGCCGCCTCGTCATCCCAATCGCATGCGCGCATCGCTTGAAACGCGCGTATCGGCTGAAAAGCGCGCATCTGTTGAAATGAGCGGACTAATCGCGACGCGCGAATGCGACTCTGGCTCGTTGCTGTCTTGGCCACCATCCCTCTCCGTCGCTCGTCTCTGCTCATTCTTGCCATACCCCCTCACATCCCCCCATATAACGCCATGCGCCCCGCACTGTCCCCGTGCCCATTCCCCGCCCTCTCCCCTCCGCCCGTCTGTGGGCAGCAACGTGGCATCGCTGGACTCGGAGAGTTTCGCCTCCCAAGTGCTCGGTCAACCCGCCGTCTGGCTCGTACGCCCCTCTTCCGATCGCCTCTCCTCACCCCTCCCACCCCTCCTCGCCCCTCCTCGCCCCTCCTCGCCCCTCCTCTCCTCTTTCCTCCTCTTCTCTTCTCTTCTCTCCTCTCCTCTCCACTCCTCTTCGCTGCACCATGCCGGGATAGCGTTGCTTTTGGGACTCCATTGCCTCTGTGGCCCTCTCCTCCGCTCCCGCTCCTCCCCCCCTTCTCCCCCACTCCCATTCCTCCCCTCTCCCGCCCTCCACTCATAACCGCCCTTACTGCCCTTTTACCTCCCATCCTGCGACCTTGTGCGTGGCGCCAGGTGCAGTACCACCAGGACAAGTGCGAGCCCTGCATGCAGTTCTCCCCCCCGCCCGTTCCCCGCGCTTACTGAGCTCTCCCGTCTTCCCCCCCCTCTCCCCCTCAGGTGGAGTACCACCAGGACAAGTGCGAGCCGTGCATGCAGTTCGCGCCCGAGGTCGCCAAGGTCGCCGACTCGCTCAAAGGGCTCGTCAAGGTGCGCGTGATGCCCGTGCGGGTTGTGGGGCGCCGTGGGGGGTGTGGGGCGTTGAGGGGGGTACCTTTGTCTCCTCCCCTCTTTCCGTGCTCTCTATACGCTTCCCTTCGGCCTCCTTCCTCCTCTTCCTCACATCTTCTCATCTCCCCCCCTCTTCTAATCTGTCTGTGTCCCTCGCCGCACACCCTATCAGGTGGGAGCCATCAACTGCAACAAGGCGCCGGACGTGTGCATGCAGGCGCAGATCAAGGTGCGCGATGCGCTTTCCACCCTCCTCTCCGCAGCTCTGTGCCCCTGTGCAAAGCATTAGCGCTTGCCCCCATACCAACTGCTCGCCTTACAATATTTCCTCCCCTGCCCCACCGTTCCTTCCTCCATTTTCTTCGCTTTCTCCCCGCGTTCCCCTCTCCTCACCTCGTCTCCCTTCCCCTCTTCTCCCTCCCCCCTCACCCCTACCATGTGTCTCCAGGAACTGCCTGCATTCAGGGTGAGTTTACTTCCCTATCACACCCATTTTGTGGAAAGGGGGGGTGGAATGCAAGAGCGTGGGGGAAGGAGGGCATGCTTGTATGGTTACACACACTGTGTATTTAAAGCAGCATAAGCTCTTCCCTCTTCATCCCGTTTCCTGTCTCGCATCCGCACCACCACTAGCCCTTCCCCTCCCGCAGTCGTCCCACCACCACAATTCTCTCCCTTCCCTCCCTCTCGCTCTCTCGCTCTCTCACCTCCCTCGCCTCTCACGCGCATACCTCTCTCCCTCGTGTCCCCTTCAGCTGTACCCATGGGAGGTGAGGGCCAACCCGTACACGCACAAGCGCTACAAGGACGCGCCTCAGGTGTTCACAGGAGACAACACAGCCAAGGCGCTCGTCAGCTTCGCCACTGGTTAGCATTCTTTTCCTCGCACCCTGCCTCTCCTCTTTGCATCTCGCCGCCGCTCCTCATACCCTGCCTCTCCTCGCACCTTGCATGCTTTCTCAAATTGTACGGCCATTTACAACTCATATTGGCGCTCCCATGGCGTATTGATGACATGCCAGCTTCAACGTCTCCATTGCCCTGCACCGATTCAAACTGCCCACCTCTTTGTCCCCCTCTCCCAACGCCTTGCTATTCCACGCTGTCCGGTCCCCTCCCCTCCTCCAGCCGCCCTACCCCACGACCTAGTGGCCAACATCTCCTCTGGCGCCTCTGCTGATGCTTTCCTCTCCACCAACGCCACCCTCAACAAGGTTCACCCTCCCATCGCCTCTTGTCACACGCGTCTCACCCGTCACGCCTTCACGCCTCCTCTTTTTTTTTTTTTTCCGTCTTGCCCTGTGCGCTCTCGTGTTTCTGCCCCTTTGTGTGTGTGTCGCATCTCTTACAATGGTGCTGCTTGCGTTGCTACTTACTCGTGTTGAGAACCAAGTTCCCTGTGCATTCAATCCCCTTATCTCCGACCCCCCATGCCCACCGTTCGCAATGCCCGCCAGGTGGTGCTCTTCTCCACCAAGCCTGCCGTCACGCCGCTCTTTAAGGCGCTCTCGCTGCAATTCAGGTGCCCCTCCCACCTCCCTTCAAACCTCTGCACCTCTGCTTCCGCTCCGCTGCTGCCCCCTCCTCTTGTAGTGTCACTGTCCCTTCAGACCTCCCTTCACACCTCCCTTCCCATCCCATTCCCACCTTCCGCCCCGCTCGTTTCGTGATATCACTTACCGTTGCCACACTATTCCCCTCCCATTTCATCCTGTGCATGGCGGATGGCATTGCATGGCATGGCATGGCATGGCACATGGGGCATGGCAGGAAGCGGCTGGTGTTTGCGCAGGCCAAGTCAACTGATGAGGCTCTGGCGGCCTCCTTTGGCGCCACCTCCTTCCCCGCGCTCTTCCTGCACAAGGTGCCCTGCACCCTGCCTCACACCCCGCACACCCCTCTGCTCACTCCACCTCACTGCTGATGGGCATCCCATACTTTTTAATCTATTTCCTCCCGTCCCACCCTCTCCCTTCCCCACTCCACCTCACCAGCCGGACGGCAACAGGCAGCTCTACGACGGTCCGCTCAAGCCCGAGCCAATCGCCGCCTTCCTTGAGCAGTTCGCCGCCCCGGCCGAGCCCGCCGCTGACTCAGCGACAGCTGGCGAGGCGGAGGGGGGGCCGGGGGGGGAGGAGGGGCAATCGCGGTGGGTGCGGCAGATGAGGGCGGCGAATGTGAGCAGCCAGGTGCTACAGCGTGAGGAGATGTGGATGGTTGCCCTCACGTCCTCTGCCGGTGAGTGATCTTTAACGCGCCTCAAAAAGAGGTGGGTGCGGCAGATGAGGGCGGCGAGTGTGAGCGGCCACGTGCTGCAGTGCGAGGAGATGTGGATGGTTGCCCTCACGTCCTCTGCCGGTGAGTGCAGTGATGATGTTGTTTCTGGCGCTCTCTCACTTGGTGCTAATGTCAAGATGATGTCAAGATGATCGCACTCGGCCCCTCTGCTGCTGAGATGTGCATGCGCTTCCTCACTCTCTCACTTTCTCTGTCACACGCCTCTGTCACACGCCTCTGTCACACGCCTCTGTCACACGCCTCTGTCACACGCCTCTGTGACATGCCTCTGTGCCGTGCCTCTGTGACATTGTCGCCTGTTGAGTGTGGTGCAGAGGAGTGCAGGGAGGTGAAGGAGAAGTTTGAGAAGACAGCAGAGGAGCTCGTGGGCATGGTGAGTCACTGGCTTAATCCCACCAACCACTAGTGCATGGCGTGGCATGCTCTCTTAACATCGCCTACACTCTCTGTATGACATGCTGTTGGGCATGGATGGTACGGGAGAAGCATGGCATGGATGGTAGGGTATGGGATCAGCACGGTATGTGCATGGGGTAACTTTGTTGCCCCACAGTCACTCACTCTCTGCTCTTCCTCCTCATTCCTCCTCCCTCCTCCCCATTCCTCCGCCTTCCTCCCCCCTGTCTGCATGGCAGATCTTTGTGGGAGTGGTGGACATGCACACGGATGAGGATGCCAAGAGGTAAGGCCATTGAATCTGTGTCCCTGCCTGCCCTGCTCGCACACCACACTCTCCCTATCCTGTCGCCCAGCTGACTACTTGGAATGCTCGTTGGCACCTGTAGCTGCTGCTCTTTGCCCTTCCTCCCCTTCCTCCCCTTCCCAATGTCTGCGTCTTCTCCCTTGCTCATTCCTGTCCCTCCTCCTCCTCCCAACCTCCCTCCCTCCCCCTTTCCACCTCTCCCAGTCTTGCGACCAAGTACGGGGTGAAGGAGCAGTGTGGAGAGGCGCTGCTATTCCCCTTGGGAGACGACAAGGAGGAGAACGAGCCCGATGTGAGTTCACATGCTGAGAATGATGCGCCGTGTCCCACCTGTGCATACCACGTCAATACGCCACTTCCTTTCTCGTCCCTTCACCTTCCTCCTCCCTGCCCCCCTCATGGTTCGCACCCGGTGAATGATTTTTTCACCCTGAGCCTTTTTTTTTGCACCTTCACTCCATCCCCTTATCCGCCGTCCCAATACCCCCCCCCCCCCCCCCCCCCTCCTCTTCCTCTCCCCACGCCACCAGCGCATGCCCCTGGCGGCCTCCCTCAAGGCCATGACAGCAGCAGTGTACGCCCTGGCGCCCGACTCCTTTGTGCGCCACATCACTGCTGACTCGCTCGAGGTCTTCGCTCAGACCAACCCGCTGCAGCCCAAGGTGGGGATGCGTGCTGGTTGGGGTGGGAACAGGGAATGCGGGCACAGTGGTTGGGGGGAACCAGGGCGAGGGTGGCACATCGCTGCTGACTTGCTTGAGGTCTTCGCTCAGACCAACCCGCTGCAGCCCAAGGTGGGATGGGGGCTGGTTGGGGATGGTGGCTTGGCAGTGTGGGGGTGGGCGCAGGGCGGATGGGGGCAAGGAGGGTGGGGGTGCTGTGGATGCAGTGTGGAGCGCCGATCGTGCCATACCCTTTGTGGCACATCCCACATGCGCCATACCGCTTCTGACACGATGCAAGTGCTGTTCCTCCGTGCCACCCACACATGCGCTTCTCTTCCCGCCCGGCCTTGGCAGGTGTTTCTGTTCACGAATAAGAGGGAGACACCTGGCATGTACAAAGTGCTCTCCACCACCTTCCGCAAAGACGCTCTCTTTGCCCTGGTGTGTGTGCTTTCTATCTCTATTACGCCCCTTGGTGTGTGCGCCTCCCTCTATTCTCTCTTCCCTCCCTTACTTGTACGCCCCTCACACTAACCGTGTGCTCGCTGGTCCCATGTATGCACAGCCGACATGCATGCCTGAACTGATCACTGTTCAACCTCATCATCCCTTGCTGTTGCTCCTCGGTCCCTGTTGCCCACTGCTCGCTGCTGCCCAATCACCTGTGGCATGTCCCCGGCTCATGTTCCTCACGCCCCTTCCCCTCTCATACCTTGTATTCCCTTCACCCCCATCACCCCCATCACCCCCTTCACCCCCATCACCCCCATCAACCCCATCACCCCCATCACCCCCATCACCCCCATCATCACCCCCATCACCCCATCACCCCCATCACCCCCATCACCCCCATCACCCCCATCACCCCCATCACCCCCATCACCCCCATCACCCCCATCACCCCATCACCCCATCATCCCCTTCACCCCCATCACCCCCATCACCCCCATCACCCCCATCACCCCCATCACCCCCATCACCCCCATCACCCCCATCACCCCCATCATCACCCCCATCACCCCCATCACCCCCCTCACCCCCATCACCCCCATCACCCCCATCACCCCCATCACCCCCATCACCCTCTTCACCCCCATCACCCCCATCACCCCCATCATCACCCCCATCACCACCATCACCCCCATCACCCCCATCACCCCCTTCACCCCCGTCACCCTCATCACCCCCATCACCCCCATCATCACCCCCATCACCCCCATCACCCCCATCACCCCCATCACCCCCATCACCCCCTTCACCCCCATCACCCCCTTCACCCCCATCACCCCCATCACCCCCTTCACCCCCATCACCCCCTTCACCCCCATCACCCCCATCACCCCCTTCACCCCCATCACCCCCATCACCCCCATCACCCCCTTCACCCCCATCAACCCCATCATCACCCCCATCACCCCCTTCACCCCCATCAACCCCATCATCACCCCCATCACCCCCATCACCCCCATCACCCCCATCACCCTCTTCACCCCCATCACCCCCCTCACCCCCATCACCCCCATCACCCCCATCACCCCCATCAACCCCATCACCCCCATCATCACCCCCATCACCCCCATCACCCCCATCACCCCCATCACCCCCATCACCCCCATCACCCCCTTCACCCCCATCACCCCCTTCACCCCCATCACCCCCATCACCCCCTTCACCCCCATCACCCCCTTCACCCCCATCACCCCCATCACCCCCTTCACCCCCATCACCCCCATCACCCCCATCACCCCCTTCACCCCCATCAACCCCATCATCACCCCCATCACCCCCATCACCCCCATCACCCCCATCACCCTCTTCACCCCCATCACCCCCCTCACCCCCATCACCCCCATCACCCCCATCACCCCCTTCACCCCCATCACCCCCTTCACCCCCATCACCCCCCTCACCCCCATCACCCCCTTCACCCCCATCACCCCCATCACCCCCATCACCCCCTTCACCCCCATCACCCCCTTCACCCCCATCACCCCCATCACCCTCTTGACCCCCATCACCCCCATCACCCCCATCACCCCCATCACCCCCCTCACCCCCATCACCCCCATCACCCCCATCATCACCCCCATCACCCCCATCACCCCCATCACCCCCCTCACCCCCATCACCCCCATCACCCCCATCACCCCCATCACCCCCATCACCCTCTTCACCCCCATCACCCCCCTCACCCCCATCACCCCCATCACCCCCATCACCCCCATCAACCCCATCACCCCCATCACCCCCTTCACCCCCATCACCCCCTTCACCCCCATCACCCCCATCACCCCCATCACTCCCTTCACCCCCATCACCCCCATCACCCTCTTGACCCCCATCACCCCCATCACCCCCATCACCCCCATCATCACCCCCATCACCACCATCACCCCCATCACCCCCATCACCCCCTTCACCCCCGTCACCCTCATCACCCCCATCACCCCCATCATCACCCCCATCACCCCCATCACCCCCATCACCCCCATCACCCCCATCACCCCCATCACCCCCTTCACCCCCATCACCCCCTTCACCCCCATCACCCCCATCACCCCCTTCACCCCCATCACCCCCTTCACCCCCATCACCCCCATCACCCCCTTCACCCCCATCACCCCCATCACCCCCATCACCCCCTTCACCCCCATCAACCCCATCATCACCCCCATCACCCCCTTCACCCCCATCAACCCCATCATCACCCCCATCACCCCCATCACCCCCATCACCCCCATCACCCTCTTCACCCCCATCACCCCCCTCACCCCCATCACCCCCATCACCCCCATCACCCCCATCAACCCCATCACCCCCATCACCCCCTTCACCCCCATCACCCCCCTCACCCCCATCACCCCCTTCACCCCCATCACCCCCATCACCCCCATCACCCCCTTCACCCCCATCACCCCCTTCACCCCCATCACCCCCATCACCCTCTTGACCCCCATCACCCCCTTCACCCCCATCACCCCCATCACCCTCTTGACCCCCATCACCCCCATCACCCCCATCACCCCCATCACCCCCCTCACCCCCATCACCCCCATCACCCCCATCACCCTCTTCACCCCCATCACCCCCCTCACCCCCATCACCCCCATCACCCCCATCACCCCCATCAACCCCATCACCCCCATCACCCCCTTCACCCCCATCACCCCCATCACCCCCTTCACCCCCTTCACCCCCATCACCCCCATCACCCCCATCACCCCCTTCACCCCCATCACCCCCTTCACCCCCATCACCCCCATCACCCTCTTGACCCCCATCACCCCCATCACCCCCATCACCCCCATCACCCCCATCACCCCCATCATCACCCCCATCATCACCCCCATCACCCCCATCACCCCCATCACCCCCATCACCCCCATCACCCCCATCACCCCCTTCACCCCCATCACCCCCTTCACCCCCATCACCCCCATCACCCCCTTCACCCCCATCACCCCCTTCACCCCCATCACCCCCATCACCCCCTTCACCCCCATCACCCCCATCACCCCCATCACCCCCATCACCCCCTTCACCCCCATCACCCCCATCACCCCCATCACCCCCATCACCCCCATCACCCCCTTCACCCCCATCACCCCCATCACCCCCATCACCCCCATCACCCCCATCACCCCCTTCACCCCCATCACCCCCTTCACCCCCATCACCCCCATCACCCCCTTCACCCCCATCACCCCCTTCACCCCCATCACCCCCATCACCCCCTTCACCCCCATCACCCCCATCACCCCCATCACCCCCATCACCCCCTTCACCCCCATCACCCCCATCACCCCCATCACCCCCATCACCCCCATCACCCCCTTCACCCCCATCACCCCCATCACCCCCATCACCCCCATCACCCCCATCACCCCCTTCACCCCCATCACCCCCTTCACCCCCATCACCCCCTTCACCCCCATCAACCCCATCATCACCCCCATCACCCCCATCACCTCCATCAACCCCATCACCACCCCCATCACCCCCATCACCCCCCTCACCCCCATCGCCCCCATTGCCCCGCACCCCTCCCATCAGGTGCATGAGAGTGAGAAGAAGGTCATCGCTCGGTTCAAAGTTGCCAAATTCCCCCACGTGAGTGCGCTGTGTGCATGTGAGCCTGTGCTGCATCCATGTCAGCACATGCCATCCCATACCATGCTGATTCACTGCTCTCATCTCACACCTTATACACATGTGCCATCGTCCCCTTCACTGCAGTCCCCACATTGTAACACACCCCCTTGTTAACCCCTCTCCGCCCCTCTCCACCCCTCGCCACCGCTCTGCACCGTGGCAGATGTCGATAATGTTCCCGGCGCCCAGTCCAGGGAGGGAGGGCGAGGTGCAGCTGACAGTGCGGGACTTTCCCGGCCCCCTCAAGTACCACACTGTTGCGCCGCAGCTCATGCAGGTAGGGGGTTGAGAGGGTGGGGATGTGGGTGATGCAGGTAGCGGGTTGGGGTGGCACGTCCCCGGCCCGCTCAAGAACCACACTGAGGCGCCTCGGCTCATGCAGGTGTGGGGTGTGGTAGGCTGTTGTGAATGGTATGGAGGTGGGTTGGGGGCTGGCCTCTCAGGGAAGAGCGTAAGGGTCAAGTAGTGCGCTGCCCTTGTCCCATAGCAACCTGTGAATGGCACAGGCTCGCGCTGGCTCCACGTCACATCTCCACCCATCCCCTACTACCCCCCACCCCTCAATCTCCTCTCTGTCCCAGTTGGTGGCGGCAGCGCGGCAGTTTGCGGCGCCAACAGCGGAGATAGTGGCATTGGGGGAGGGCAAGGAGGGGCAGGAGGATGCCTTCCAGACAGAATGCGTCGACTCCAATCGGTGCGTTTCAGACAGACGGTGTCGACTTCAATTGGTTGCTTCTAGGCCGCGCTTCTCAGTTTATAGTGTTGTTGACATGTCAGACTCAGCATGTCAGACGCAATCATGTCAGTGACATGCCATGTAACATCGCTGCATGCCTTCCCGCCTTCGCACACTGTGGCACCCACACACTGCTGTGGCAGGCGCACTTACCACCTCTCCTCTCCCTCGCCTCTCCTCGCCCTCGTCTCTCCCCACCCACAGGCTGTGTGTGATTGGTATGTTCAACACCGACTCCCCTCTCGACCAGCTCAAGCAGGTCTCTGTTAAATGATTGGTGTCTAGTCACTGGCAGGCGCACTGTCCACCTCTGCGCTCTCGGCCCTCTCTCCCTCCTCCCCTTTCGCCTCTCCCCACCCACAGCCTGTGTGTGATTGGTATGTTCAACACCGACTCCCCTCTCGACCAGCTCAAGCGGGTGTCTGCTAGATGATTGGTCTCTAGTCTCTGGCAGGCGCACTTACCACTTCTGCATTCTCCCACCTCTCCTCTCCCTCACCTCTCCCCACCCACAGCCTGTGTGTGATTGGTCTGTTCAACACCGACTCCCCACTCGACCAGCTCAAGCGGGTGGCAGCCAAGTGGCTGCGGGGCGGCCAGTTTGTCTTCATGTGGCTGGACTCCGGGCGGCACAAGGCGTTGGCATCGCGAGTGCTCCCGCTGCTAGGCGTGAGCCATGAGGACCTGCCGACAGCGGTGGTGGTGAGCCCGCGCAAGATGCGCTGCGCCGTGCTGCCAGAGAGCTTCTCCCCGCCCATCCTCGACGCCTTCCTCGACTCGCTGCTCGCCGGCCGCGTCCGCACCTTCCCCCTCGATGTGAGTGGGGGAGTCTCCTTCTGCCTCCACGTGAGGAAGAGTTTCAAATTCATTCCTTATCCGTTCTCTTCTGATAACATTAAACACCGGAGACACTCTTCTCCTGAATTCACCTACCCCAAGTCAACCCTAGTCAGTGCCCTCTTCTCTGTTTCCCTCTCCTCCTCGCTGCTCGCCTCAACTCCCTCCTTCCCCCAGCGCCTGCCATCGTTCCTGCCGGGCCCTTCAATGGAGTCTTTTCCCGCATCAGAGGCGGCAGAGGAGGCAGCAGAACCAGAGCCGATCGCAGAGGAGGTGGGTGCCTGCTGCTGCTGCTGCTTCTGCTGCTGCTGCTGCTGCTGCATGTAATCCTCAAAATCGTTCTATCTTTCCTTGATTCCATGTGCCATCATACCATCTGTCTTGCATTTTCACACCATCTCACACCACTCGCACCTCATCGCACCCGACGGTACCTCCACTCTCCCTTAATCTCCCTCATCTGCATGCCCCCTCTTCACATGTCCCCTGTTTCGACTGTCCCCTCATACGCATGTCACCTTGCTCGCATGGCATCGTGCGCCCACGCTGCACCATCCACGCGGCACAGGAGTTTGATCTGGCGGACATCATGAGCGAGCAGGTGGAGGACGCCGATGCCGTCGCCTCAAAGGAGCACAAGATTCTGCAGGTCAGCGCATGGTGGCCCTGTTTTGCATGTCACATCACCTTGTGGCATGCACGTTTTGCACATGTGCACGTTGTGGCATCCACACGGGACAGGTGGAGGACGCCGATGCCGTCGCCTCTAAGGAGCACAAGATTCTGCAGGTCAGCACATGGTTGCCGTTTTGCCCCTGTTGCCATGGTAGGTCAGCGCATGGTGGCCATGGTAGGTCAGCGCATGGTGGCCATGGTAGGTCAGCGCATGTCGCCCTTTGACCCCTGTTGCCATCTCTAGCATGTTGCCATGGCAGGTCCGCACTTCGCCATCGCAGTGATTCTCTTGATCATGTGTTACTCTCTTCTCACTCACCCCCCTCCTCCCTCCCTCCCCTTCCTCTTTCCTCTCACATGGCAGGCTGACAAGGAGGCAGAGGAGGAAGCAGCCAGGAAGGCAGCAGAGGCGGAGGCAGCAAAGAAGGCATCGAAGAAGAAAAAGAAGAAGAGCAAGACCAAGAAGAGCAAAGCCGTGGACTCGGATGTTAGGGATGAGCTGTAGCTAGGCTATAGATGGGCTGTAGCTGGGCTGTAACTCTGCTACATACTCAGCATTGAGCAGCCGCGCACATATCTGGACGGTTGCAAACGTGCTGTCTGTTTTCTCAGATAGCAGACGTACATCGACATTTCAGTGGACCCTGCAAACGTGCAAACAGGCTGCTCCGTACTCTGCATTGAGCAGTCGTACATTTATTTTTCAGTGGACCCTGTTGACCTGGCGTTCTGTAATGCGAACTGGTGTCCAGAATGACCATGGGAAACATATTGCAACTTCACAGTTCCAGGCGAATTATCACCAGTTTACGTTTAGACTATAACGAGGTTGCTCATCAACCCAGTCGGAGTGCAGCATGTACACGTACAAGCCTTTCTCCACATCGAGCGTCAGAAGCACGCTTGCTTGCTTCTCGCCTCTGCCAGCCATTCCAATCAGGAGGAACTTCGATTCGAACAGGGCCCTCTCGCCTCACACACACATATTTCAAAACTCGTAGCGGACTAGCAGCAGACACGTAACGACGCAGCGATGTACACGTAACGACGCAGCGATGTACACGCAGCGATCAGTTGTTGCCGTGCGATCGTACGAGTAGTAAACGAGGTCGCGCAGGTTGAGCGTGAGAATCTGGAGCCCGTGTGCGGGCGGCCATGGGAGTGCAGGGCCTGTGGGAGCTGCTGGCGCCGGTGGGCCGACGCGTGTCCGTGGAGGCCCTCGCCAACAAGACGGTAGCTGTCGGTACGTTCCGTAGCGGGCAGATTCGTGCACCGGTAGGACTGCGCAGCCTTACCAACGCACGGATTCGCTGCGCAGCGGTTCGTTCCGCTCGAGCGTGTTAGTGTGTGGTAGGATTGCGCAGTACGGCTCTGGTGAACATTCCCAGCGGCTCGTTCCGTTGTGCGTGACGCACGTTGAATCTTTTCTAGCGCTTCGTTTGTGACTAGAAAGACGGATTTTCTTGTTGTTATCTTGCGTCAACTGTCTGGCCAAATTCGTAAGGCAATGCTGTCGCATTGCTCGTGATTTGTTTTAGCAAAGACGTGAGCGTTTACCGATCAGCTGTATTCCTGATTTAATTCGTTAGACGCTAGCGTTTTTTCAGCATTCCTCTATTACGTTTCGTTGCGAGTTCTTAATCTCAGATTCTTCCAACCCAGTCTGTCCCGCCATTCCGCGTCACTGGCTGCCAACGGCGCAGTCGCCTGTTCTAACCATGCGCCTTCCCCAATTCCCCCCTATTGGTGCGGGTCAGATGCGAGCATATGGCTGGTGCAGTTTCTCAAGGCGATGCGCGACGATCGCGGCGAGCTGCTGCCAGGCGCGCACCTGCTGGGCTTCCTGCGGCGCGTGTGCAAGCTTCTCTTCCTGCGCATCCGCCCGCTCATCGTCTTCGACGGCGCCACTCCCGCGCTCAAGCGCCGCACCGTCCTTGCGCGCCGCCGCCAGCGGGAGAACGCGCAGATCAACCTGCGCAGGACGGCGGAGAAGCTGCTGCTCAACCAGGTGCGCGCGGGCAGTGGAGGGTGGGGGGAGGGGGAGAGGGGGAAGAAAGGGAAGGGGGTGGCGGATGACGGGGAGACAGAGAGGCTTTGTTGAATCGGGTAGCGTGGAGGTGGTGCAGTGACTTGCGGTTGTAAGAAGAAACTGAGTTGGGGGTTCACACTGTTTATTTGCGTTGTTCATCTCTTGTCTCTCTCTGCTCCACCATTTCCCTCGGCTCTGTGGTGTTGTGTTGCTGGCAGCTGCGGCTGCGTAAGCTGGAAGAGGCAGCACAGGAGATGCAACAGAGGGGCAGGGGGCGGGCGGTGGGCAGGGGGACAGGAGGGGCGCGGGGAGGGGGCAAAGGAAAGGAGAAGGTGGAAGAGGTGGTGGGCGATAAGAAGCAGGAGGATGAGGGGCGAGGGAGGCGCTGTTCAGAAGACAAGGCAGCGCAGGAGCAGGGCGGCTGCAATGAGGAGGCGAGGAGGGATCAAGAGCACGCTGATGCTCTGTATGTCTCAGGCCCGCCTCTTGCTGAGCTTCAAACTCATCCTCGTTTCTTTCTTCTCCTCATTGCTTCCTTACTTCCTTGCTGCGCTGCACCTCCCCTCACCGTGCTAAATCTGGCATTATTCCTGTTATGCTCCCCCTGTTGCTGCCAGCCTGGCAGCATCGCTGGCAGCTGAGTGGGCAGGGCAATCCGCGGGCACCTCTGGTGCTGCCCCGAACGTGGCAGGCACCTCCCGTGATGCCGGTGCTGCTGCTGCTGCTGCTGCTGCTGCTGCTGCTGTGGCTTCGGTAGCTGCAGCTACTGCTGGTGGTGCGGGCGGTGGTGAGGCGGCCAGGGGGCCAGTGGAAATGGAGGGAGGTGATGATGGCAGCGACGAGGACAGTGATGAGGACGACTTGACCGAACAAGCTATGGCGCTCCTGGTGCGTGCCTCATGCTCATATGCCGCTTTCCATTCCTTCCCCTCCATGTATAACTTTCCGCTTTCTGGATTAGAATTTTCAGATGCAACTTCCATTTATTTGAAATTAAGTTCTCTCGCTCCCCATGCCCCACATGTTCTGGTGCCACGGCCACCAGCCGGAGGTGGCATCTGGGGGAGGCGCACCCCTGGATCCGGCAGTGCTGGCCTCGCTGCCACCCTCCCTGCAGCTACAACTGATGGTGCAGGTGGGTGTGCGTGCTACAGCCAGCTCATGGTGCAATATGTGTGCTACAGTTGATGGTTTTAAAGTGTGGTACACTACAGTTGATGGTTTTAAAGTGTGGTACACTACAGTTGATGGTTTTAAAGTGTGCTACACTACAGTTGATGGTTTTAAAGTGTGCTACAGTTGAATATGTGGCCTCTCCTTCGGTCCTCTCACCTGCTCGTCACCGTTTCTTCTTCCCGCCTCTCCCCGCACTGCTGCTGCATGCTGCGCTTCTCTCCTTCCTCCTCCCATTTCCTCCTCCCTGGCGTGGGCAGATGCGCGAGCAGCTGGTGGCGGAGAATCGCCACAAGTTCGAGCAGGCTGCCAAGGTGAGAGGGAGGGGGGACAGCAGGGGTGTGAACATCACAAGTGGTAGGTAGGTTCGCATGGCGGGGGGGCTGGTTGCTTGGGATAGGTAGGTGTGAGTGAGGTGTGGGATGGTACGCTCTATCCTGCCCGTCCTGATGATCCTGTTCCAGCCTGCCTCTCCCCTTCCCCCTACCCTCCCGTCCCGCACCGCTCTCGCCTCCACCAGGCGCCAGCGGCGTTCTCATCGCTGCAGGTGGGCGCCTATCTGCGCACGGCTGCCATGCGCCGCCAAATCGACTCCGTGCGCTCCGCTGCCGCCTCTGCCTTCGCTGCCTCTGCCCCCGCCGCTGCCTCTGTTGCCGTTGCTGCTCCCTCCACCGTTCTCAATTCCACCCCTGGTTCTTCCTCTGCTGCTGCTGCAGTGGGAGCAGTGGGGGCATCAGGAGGGGAAGTGACTGGCGGGGGTGTGGCCGGGCGAGCAGGAGGAGCAGCAGAGGCGGAGGAAGGAGTGGGGGTGGGTCGAGGGGGTGGAGGGGGCGTGGGCGGGGGGCGGATAGCATCGGAGGCGGGCAGGGAGTTTGTGTTCACCTCCTCTGTGGGGCAGGGCACGGGGTGAGTGGCGCAGGGCGCGGGTGGTGTATGGGCTTGGAACGTAAAGGGAGGGTGTTGTGGGTTCGTTCATAGGATGTACCACCGTGTCCTCCTGCTGCTGCTCCTCCTGCTCGCCCAGCCACACCCAGGCCAGTCACTTCCCCCGCCTCCAGCTGTTGTGGGTTCGTTAATAGGATGTAACAGCGTGGGTGTTGTGGGTTCGTTCACTCCTTGTTATCCCTCTGCTCTGTCTCGCCCCTCATTTCCCCTCCCCTCTCCGCCTGCTTGTTCTGATCCATTCCCCCTTTGCCTGCAGCGACACTCCCCTAGGACGGCGCCTGCCCCCATTGTCAGCAGCACCCGCACAGGGCAGGGGGGGGAAGGGGCTGCGCGGGAGGGGCAGGGGGAAGGGCGCCTGGGGGCACCGATGGACGGGGGAAGATGCTTGGGGGGAGAGGAGGGGAGGAGGGGGAAGTGGCAAGGCGAAGCAAGTGGAAGGGGATAAGGACAAGGAGGGGGCAGAGGACGAGTGTGAGAGGGATGGTTTGCGGGATTTCTCCTGGGGGGGAGGGAGGGGGCAGGGGGGCGCGGAGGGGCTGCTGCAGCTGCCTGGCATTCTGCAGCAGGCGGTGAGCTGGGGGAGGGGGAGGCGGAGGGGGGAGCCGGGGGGACAGTCGGGGGAGGGCGCTAGAGAGGCAAAGGACGGTGGGACTGGCGGGGCCGGGGATGGGGCGTGTGGAGTGAGTGGAGGCGTTGAGACGAGGGTGGAGGGGGCGGAAGAAGAGGGGGAGGCAGTGAAGGAGGCGTATCTGGCGCTGGTGGCAGAGGAAGGCACGGCGCAGTCGACACAGACAAGTGGCAGTGCTGCCAACACAGACGCTGCTCCCGGTTCTGCTGCTCGTGATGCCCCTCCTCTTGGCGGCAGTGGCTCCAATGCTGCTGCTGGCAGCGCTGCAGCAGACAATGCTGCTGATGGCGATGACAAAGAGGCAGCCGAGGGGGAGACGGCAGGAGGGGCAGCGGAGGGTGGAAGTGTGCCGACATACAGGGATGAACAGGGCAGGGTGCGAGTGAGTCGCGTGCGGGGCATGGGCGTGCGTATGACTCGTGACCTGCAGTGGAACCTGGTGCTCATGCGCGAGCGGGAGAAGGAGAGGGCGACGGGCACGGGGAATGGGGGCGAGGAGGAGAAGGGAAGGGATATAGGTGGGGAGATGATGAAGGGTAGTGAGGGTGTGCGGGGGAAGGGTGAAGAGCGGGAAGGAGGTGACGAGGAGGAGGTTCAGTGGGAGGATGGGACGGGGCCTGCTGCCGCCGCCGCTGCTGATGCTGCTGCTGCTGATGATGATGATGGTGCTGCTGTCAGGGAAGGTGGGGCAGCAGGAGGTGTACGTGGGAGGGGGTCTAAAAGAGCAGATGGTGGGTACGAGAAGGAGAAGGGAAGGGGTTTGGAGGGAGGTGAGGGAGGGGAAGGGGAAGAGCAGGAAGAGGGAGAAGGAGGTGAGTTCGAGGATGAGCTGTTTGCAATGCTAGTGGCTGCTGGGAAGGTCACAGAAGCAGCACCATCGCAGAAGCACACACCAAGCACCGCCACACCACGCACTGCCGGTGGGGTCGCTGCTCCTTCCACTGCACTTGCCCCGACCCCGCCACCTGCTGCCACCTCGGCACCTGCGCGTGTCACGGGGACGGATGCAGAAGATTGGCGGAAGGAGGAGGAAGAGGAAGAGGAGGAGGAGGATGTGGAGTGGGAGGACGGAGGAGGGGAAGAGGAGGAGGTACAGTCAGATCAAGGAAATGTGGAGGGAGGAGAGGCAAGGGTTGCTGCAGAGAAGAATGTGCAGGGAAAGGGTTCTCCAGGTGATGCTGACGTGGACATGGAGGCTGACGTGGAATGGGAGGAAGCGCCAGTCATAGTGCAGCACATGAAACCAAGCAAGGCGCCTCCATCCCCCCAACCTGGCCCGCCCTATGCCCCTACCCCCACCCCTGTCCCCACCCCCGCAACCATCCCTGCCCCCACCCCCACCTCCGCCGCTGCATCTGCGGCGCCAAGTGCCTCTACCCGTGCAGGGAGGGAGGGCGCGGGCTCTCTTGCTGGCGAGCAGAGGCGTGGGAGGGCGTGGGAGGAGCAGCAGGTGGCAGAGGCCGTGAGGAGGAGCCTGCAGGACGTGGGGGGGAGGAAGCGAGCTGCGCAGCAGAGTGCGGGTGCAGTGGATTTTGAGAAGGATGTGGGGGGGAGTGGAGGGGAGCGAGAAGCGGAGGGAGCGGGGGCAGTGGAGGGAGAGGAGGGGGGAGTGGAAGAGGTGGAGGAGGAGAGAGCAGCATTGGAGGAGGAAGCGAGGAGGCTACGAGAGGAGATGGAGGAGGGCCAGCGACGAGTGCAGGTGAGCCGTGCGCCTTGCATGCACCCATTGCCCATCGTCCATCGTCCATCTATCCCTAATCTCCCAATCACCTGTCTGCACCTGTCTGCGACAGTGCCCAGCATGCGACTGGTGCGACGATCATAGTGGTGGGTGTGCTGACCTCTGACTCCACATTGCACGTTTGAGCGTGCAGGAGGAGCAGGCAGAGCAGGACATGAGCCAGCAAGAGGATCAAGAGCAACAGGATGAGCAAGAGGAGCAGGGGGAGGAGGGGGGGCAGGGGGAGCAAATGGACGAGGGGGAGTGGGAGGAGCAGGAGGCGGCGCTGAGGAGGCGGTGGGAGGAGGAGAGTGGGCGGGTGGAGAGGGAGGGGCGGCGGCTGAGGCAGCAGAAGAGAGCACATGAGCGGGACGCTGCTTCTGTCACCTCCGAGATGCTGGCCGAGGTGCAGGTGAGAACTATCACTGCAGCGACTCTCCTTCCACCTGTCTGCCATTCATTCTATCCCCCAACACTCTTGCCCCACATCAGGTCTACCCTCACTCCTTGCTCCTTCCCTCCTCGCCCCCTCCCTCCCGTCTCCCTTCCCTCTGCCTCTCCCCTCACTCTCTGTGCCTCTTCCCCCCAGGAGCTGCTGCAGCAGTGCGGGGTGCCATACATAATAGCGCCAATGGAGGCGGAGGCGCAGTGTGCATGGCTGGCGCAGCACGGTGTGGTGGACGCGGTCGTGTCAGATGACTGCGATGCGCTGCTCTTCGGCGCTCCCACCCTGTGGCGCCACCTCTTCTCTGATCGGCACTATGTGGAGGTGTATCGCGCTGAGGACGTGCAGCGAGAGCTGGGGCTCAGCAAGAGGCATCTTGTGCGCATGGCCATGCTATTGGGTTGTGACTACACGCCCGGGATCAGGTGCGCGGAATGACATAATCCGTGTGAAGTTATCACCATCCAGATAACCATTAGAAAAGATAAACCGAGTTCGGAAGATGAGCGACTTTGATCGAAATCATAACTAGCATCATGGTCAAAATCATATCAAGGTCGAGGGCTGTCGTGACGGTGCTGGCACTGTACTGCAGGTCCTTGTTGGAGATAGTGATATCCTGCTTAGGCTTTCAAGCTTTTGCCCCTTCTTCAATTTTAGTTGGCTTGTTCTCCTTGTCCTGCTAGTCAGCAGCTCTCTTGAAATGGTCAATGGCAAAGGCAAATCCCCCCCCCTCCCCCGCTTCCGCTGCCAGTGGCATCGGAGTGGTGAACGCCATTGAGGTGATCCATGCCTTCCCGGGTGCACGCGGGCTGCAGCGCTTCCGCCACTGGCTTGACTCCCCCCATGCCGCCGCCCTCGCCCACCTGCTACCTGGGGGAGCAGAGGGCGGTGCAGCGGGTGGTGCTGTGGCCGCGGCAGATGGGTGGGAGGAGGATGACGATGGGTGGTGGGAGGATGAGGCGTCGGATGAGGAGGAGGAGGAGGGGGAGGAGGGTGGGGAAGGTAGGGGGAAAGGTAATGGGAGGAAGGGCGAGGTTGTGGGAAAGGAACGGAGTGGCAAGGGGAAGAGCAGCAGGAAGGGAGAGGAGCAGGGCAAGGGGGGGTCAGAGGAGGATCGGGAGGCAAGGAGGGAGCTGGCCGAGGCACGGAGGCGAGAATTTGAAGCCACGCATGTGAGTGCAAGTGCCTGACATGCCTCGTCTTCCACGTTTGCTTGCGCCTTGCCTTGCAGAGGAACGTGGATTGCACCCTCTTGTTTGATTGTATTCCCTGCCACACCACTGCCATCCCCTTCAATACAACCCACCCCATTCCTCCCCATTCCACCCCATTCCACCCCATTCCACCTCGCCCCATTCCACCTCACCTCACCCAACCCCACTCCACCTTCCCCTGAACCCTGGCAGGCGGGGGTGCGGAGGCAGTGGGTGGTGCCGGGCAACTTCCCCAGTGCAGCGGTGGCAGCGGCGTTCAACCGCCCCCATGTGGACCGCAGCACCGCCCCGCCCTCCTGGCACCCGCCCGACCTCCCCGCCCTGCGCCAGTGCGCCTCCCCTCCCTCTCCGCCTCCCACCCTCCCCACTCCTCCACTCTCCCTCCACTTTCCCTTGCCCACCCTCCTGTTTTGCGATCTCTCTCTGCCCCGGCCCTCCATTGTTCCTTCTGTGCCTCCTCCTTTCACAGCTTGTGTGCTCCCGCATCCTCCCTCCCTCTCCTGCTCCCGCTGCCAACCCTTTTTCCCTGCTCCCCCGTCCGCCTGTCCCTGCATGCCACGTGGCAGGCTGTGTGTGGCGAAGCTGGGCATGGCGCCAGAGAAGGCGGATGCGCTGCTGCTGCCAGTCGTCAAGGCCGCCTCCTCCCGCCAGGTAGGCTCCCCCATGCCATGCCATGCTGTGGTATGCCGTGCTGCATGCCATGTTCCACGCCATGCCACATGCCATGCTTCATGCCATGCCGCTGTACCAGGTGTGCTTGCAAGCCGTGACACCATCACTGTTCGCACATTCGGGATTTCTTGCCCATATGCTGCTTCACAAACCCCCATTCGGATTCTCTTGTACCATCTCCCATCTCCCATTCCCCCCATTCCTTCTTCCCCCCACCACACCCCACCAGACCCAGCAGCGGCTGGAGGCGTTCTACTCGTTCAAGCAGCGCTTTGCTAAGATCAGGTCGCGCCGCGTGCAGCGGGCCGTCACCGGCATCGCTGGCAGCGCTGCCTGGCACCTCATGCTGCCGCCCTCGGGGGTCACTGCGCCTGAGGAGGAAGACGCAGAGGAGGAGGATATCCTTGACGCTCATGCCCCTACTGCTAATGCTGCTGGTGCTGCTGGTGGTGCGGGCAATGGGAATGTTTCTGGTGGCAGGGAGCAGGATGGTGTGGTAGCAGGTGGTGGTGGTGGTGGTGGGGCGACTGGTGTGAGGCGTGGGAAGGCCAAGGGTGCTGCTGTTGCTGTGGGCGGGGAGAAGAAGGGTCGAGCAGGGAAAGGGCGAGGGAGAGGGCGGGGTGTTGCGAGAGAGAGAGGCAGGGGAGGGGGAAGAAGGGGAGGGCGTGTGGGACGGAGGAAAAAGGGAGATGCGGTGGAGGAGGCGGAGGGCGAGTGGGCATCCTCAGGCGAGTCTGGGGAGGAGGAGAGGCATGGCAGGGGCACGGAGGGGGGGGGCAGCAGAACAGAGCAGAGATGCTGGCAGCACGCGAGGGGCTGAGGGTGGTATGGAGGGGGGTGCGGCTGAGCGTGGGGGAACAGGCGTGCCAATGAGGGTGCAGCCAAGACGTGAGGCCAAACGGCCGCGCCTGCAGCTGGGAAAATCCGATGCTGGCGTGGTTGCTGATGGGGTTGATGGGGTTTCCCTGAGTGACTCGCACTCGAGCAGCAGTGGGAGCGATGCTGACCTTGCTGATGCGCATGGCGATAGCGATAGTACTGATGACGTGTTTCATCCCCAGGAACACCTGCATTCACCTCTCACTGCGCGGCCTGTGGCCCGACGCACTTCTCCCACAGGCACAGGCACAATTACACCCAAACCCACACTCACTGGCGCACTCACTGCGACAGGGCGAAGTAGCCAACAGCAAGCAGGCGGGCAGGGAGGGGTGGAAGGTGTCGGTGGGGGAGAGGGAGGAGGGAAGGGGGACGCAGCAGGGCAGGCATGTGGGAGAGGTGAGAGTGAGGGGACGTGGGTGGTGCAGCGACACTCGCATGGGGCAGAGGAGCAACAGCATGACTGCCCTCGCCATGCCTCGGGTGAAGCCTATACGGCAGCAGCAAGCACAGGGCAGAGGGGAGCACCGTACAGCTCCCTGCATGCGCTCATGTATGGAGGGGGGTTCTGTGTGGGGGAGGAGCAGCACGGGGAGGGGCAGGTGGCAGAGGCAGGGGGGAGGGAAAGGGGAGAGGAAGAGCAACAGCTGTGGATGGAGCAGACGGGAGGAGTGGAAAGGGAAGAGATAAGGGGTGTTGTGGCAAGTAATGAGGTCTCTGGTGCTTCGGGTGGGTGCAGAGAGATGGGGGAGGAGATGATGGGCGGGAGGGAAGGGGTGGATGCGGAGAGAGGGAGCAAGGGGGGTGGTGGTGCGATGGTTGATGTACCCACATCACACAGTGACCAGTCTCTCACCCTTGCCTCATTGGAGCCATCTTCTTCTACTCCTGCTGCACCTCCTGCACCGGACCCCCACCGTGCTGCCATGGGACCTCTGCTGCCCGCCCCCTTGCGCCGCAAGAAGCCCCGGGTGCGCTGAAGCAGGCATGGCATGCGTAAGGATGGGCCACCTGGGGCAAACGAGCCAGCATTACACTCGCTTGCATATTTTGTAAATAGGCTACGGTGGCTAAAATGAAATTGCTGTTTTGAGCTCGTTATAAGATCAGTATTTGTCCTCGCCATAGGCCCGTGCAAAGAGCGAGGCCGGCTGCCTTCCTCACCGAGTCCCAATTCACTTCAACCTGACACACTTCACACGCTCGTTCCACTTCAGCGCAGTACAGCGACCACCAGCCACGTGTCGTCTCGTCACCGCGCCACCTCTCCATGTCGCACGCCATGGCCCAACCGCTCGCTCTTTGCCGCCCATCCCCCTTTATTGGGGCGCCCGCGTCGCAATCTCTGTCACTATCGGCGGGTTGTGCGCGCGTGCCACGCGGTGCGGGCGTGAGCCGATTTTCCGCCGTGAGGGCGCCTTCAACGGTGGCGGCGCGGCGCCGCGTAGTCGTCACTGGTACGTCCGTAGGGTAGTCGTGGAGGAAATAGCAGCGCGCTCGCGTGGATTGCGCGCTCGTGTGGTTGCGTGCTCGCTCCAGAAGATTGCGTGCCTCTGCCCTCATGCATTGTGGTCGTGCAGCCGTGCGTGCATGCGGGCGGGCGTGCTCGCGTGTCTTCCTTCCGGCTGCAACCCGTACCCGCTCGTTGCCCCTCGTGTGTTGCGCATACTGCATTCCTGCGCTGCCTGCCCAACCAACCATTCCCCGCTGCCCTCCCGCGCGCCAGCCTCCGCGGGTGCGGGCGCGGAAGACACGGGCGCGGAGGCGGCGGAGATTGAGGCGGCGGTGGCGGTGCTGGCGGAGGCGGCGCGTAGCAAGCAGGTGAAGGGCGAGGAGGTGTTTGCGGCGCTGCGGCGGCTGGAGACGCGCAAGGTGGGCGCGGAGGAGAGCAAGGCGTGGCTGGCGGCGCTGGGAGGGGCGGCATCGCCTGGACACATGTGGCAGCTCGTGTTCACTGCTGGTAGCGGCGAGGTGCGTGCCCGGGGCGACTGGTGTGTGCGCGCGTGGGTGGTGGCGACATGGTGTGCTGTCATGTGCCATGTGCCCTCTCTCCCACTCCTCATGCCACGTGGCCCGTCGGGTGCCCCATCTGTTCCCCCCCGTGCCCCTGTGAGCAGGTGCGCAAGGCGGCCAAGGGCGGGGAGGGCACGGGTTCGTACTTCCCCATCGCCGCCATCCAACGCTTCGATGCCACCGTCAGTACCCTCTCCCCTTCCGCGCTCCTACTGCTGCCTCACGCGCTCATTATTTCACTCACCTGTCACTGCTGCATGTAGCCAACCATCATTTATCCTGGCCACCACCGTTGCTCCCATCCGCCTTCCATCACTGCCAGCTATATCCCTCCAGCTCTTACCATTCATTGAACAGTATCTTTCCCCAAATATCCCTGCCACACCATCCCATCCTCACCTTTTCCTCTCCTCTCTCCTCCCCTTCCCTTCCCTCTCTTTCCCCTCTCCCTTCCCACCAGGCGATGGAGATAGAGAATGGGGTGTTCCAGGGCCCGGTGGGCTACGTCACCTTTCAAGGAACACCATCCATCACCTTCCCCTTTTTTCCTCTCTTTTCCCATCCCCTCTCTCCCCCTCCTCTCCACCTCTCTCCCCACCAGGCGATGGAAATAGAGAACGGGGTGTTCCTGGGTCCGGTGGGCTACCTCACCTTTCAGGGCCCCATGGGCTTCACTGGCCGCCGCCTCGCCTTCACCTTCCACACACTCACCCTCAAGCTCGGCCCGCTGCCGCCCTTCCAGGTCAGCCTGCCGACCTTCCAGGTCAGCCTGCCACCCTTCCAGGTCAGCCTGCCGCCCTTCCAGGTCAGTCTGACAAGTGTGGGAGCGAGTAGGCACATTCATGGTTTCGGGGGCCTGAGATTCCCCACTTCCTTCCAGGTCAGTCTGACACAGTCTTGCACCTGCCTCCTGCACTTCCCCTCACTCTCTCCCTCTCTTTCTCCCTTCTCTCTTTGCTGTCTCCACTCGTCTGCTCCCTGCGCAGCCTCTTCGCTCCATGCATGCCACCAGTGCTTATGCCTCGAATCAATAGTCATTCCAACTGTGCTGCCCTTGCATTCCCAATCATCTCCTTTTCCCCTGCCACACACGTCACCCCATGGGCACATGGCAGTGGGGGATAGGAAAGGAGGAGGACAAGGGGAGGGTGCCGGGGGAGGGCAAGGCGGGCAGCAAGGACCCTTTCTTCACCTGGTTCTATGTGGACGATCGTATCGCTGCTGCCAGGGGCAGAGGAGGTGGTTCTGCCTTCTGGGTGCGCTACACTGGGCCCTACAAGCAATGATGCCACACCAGTGCCACCCCACAGCCATGCCCTCATACTTCCAAGATGTCTCAAAGGGACACTTACAAGCAATGTCGCCGCATATCGCACCCAGCTGTTGCTGTAGCGCATTATTTATTGTGTGAAATGATGCCAAGTCAGAGTGCGGCGCTTGCTATGGAAGGAAGTGGATGGCTCGAGTTGTGAGCCTTTACCGTATGTCCCACTGCATTGTCTGAATGTACATTTTGTAATGAATTCTAAACATTTGGTAGCCCAAGCTTATAGAGACAGTTTACAGCGAAGTTGATCATGTTGAAAATGCGCCGCAATCAGCGCCACAAAGCAAAATGCGCTTGTGCGACGTGAGACGAAGACGCGCGATGGCGGGTAGGCCGTGGTAGCACCGCGCTGTCGCAGAAAGGCGCAGGGGAATCCCTAATGGTGCGGAGGAGCACGGACGAGTACTGGGGCCAATTCCCCTCGTCACGCGTCACAGCAGCCCGCCAGTGCCACAATTACGGCCTTCGCGCTGCTCCTCCACGAAGCTGCGTGCACCAGGCGGCGCGGAGAAGGCGCAGCGGAGCGGGCGCAGCGGAGAGGGTGGGTCGCCATGCACGCCGTATTCCAGCGGGTGTCGTCCGCCCACATCGAGGTGCGCCCGCTGCTCACACGCCTGCCGATAGCTCCCCTGTTAGGGTTGGTTCGCCCAACCACGGAACCTATGGCGAAAGCCTCTACGACGGCGGAATGACGGCGAAATGGAAGCGCGTGGATGATTCTAGGTGAAATGGTGGAAATCGGCCTACGGCGTGAGAAGGGAGAGAGAAATAGAGAAGGAATGTGTGAGAAGGTGGAAGATGTTGGAGAATCGAGTTTCTGCCGCCCCAGCAGTTTGCACACAAGCACCAGCAAGGGGGAATGTCGGCGATGAATCAGAGGCTTCGGGAAGTACTTCGAAAGTTCCACCACCAATCAGATTTCAGCCGAAGACTCGATACAGTTCAAAGCTGCCTACAAACCGAAGTGTTGGCAGTTTCTACAAGTTTCTACACATCAGAATAAGCTATAACAGAAATATCCAGAGTTTTCTTATTCATGCACCTCATGTGGCACTCAAAGTCACTCAAGGTCCATCCAATCTAGATTGTGCCCAAGTTACCAGGGAAGTTACATTGTCTATCAGCCTAGTTTGAGCTTTCAATCTGTCTTGTTTGTAATGCCTATAGAGTTGTGCTTTAGTGGGCTTGTTAATCTTGAACATAGTGAAGTTTTACCTCATCCAGTCAATTCCAGCAGCCCTGCTAAGACTTTCCAGCCAAGTTTCCAGCCCTCCAGTAGTCACAGCTACTTTGTTTTACAAGTTGGTATCAGAGCTCGTCGTTTCGATCAACCTAGCCCACCACGTTCCTGTCCTAGCACCATACGAACATGGCGGGAGACAATCCATCTGGTCCTGCACTCCAGCCAGCCGGAGGAGCTTCAGAGTCAACATCAGCAGCTACTGGATTAGTGGAAGCAGTTGCACCAGGCAGTCCTTCAACAACATACTCACCACTCACCTCCTTCATGCCTAAGCTTCACCTCCCCAAGTTCAACGGCAAAGATTTTCCAACATGGGCAACTCAGTTTGAGCTCACTGCATCCCTTGTGGATCTGTGGCCTTACTACACTGGAGAAGCAGCCAAACCAGCAGCAGATGCTTCAGAAGCTGAAAAACGACTTTACGAACGATGCAACAAGGAGGCCTTCCTCTACCTACTCAATAGCATTCACGAGCAGCAGTTGAAGTTGCTCTTGCCCTGTTCTACCAAGGCAAACAGTGCAGAGGAAGCATGGAGCCGACTGAAGACTATGCACCAGTCAAAATCCGAGAGCAGCCAAGCCGAGATGTGGAGCCGCTTCATGAATCTGAAGATGGAAGAAGATGAATCAGCACAAGCCTACCTACAACGAGCTGAACCAATGTTGGAGGAAGCAGCAACGATCGGTTTGGAGATTCCAGAGTCTCTTTTCAAGACCGTCATCCTCACCGGCCTTACACCGGAGTGGGACACTTTCCGTGCAACACTACAAGCGCTCCCGCAGTCAATGAAGAGTCGTGCGTTCATCTTTGAAGCCCTTGTCAACGAGCAGCAGAGTCAAGACCTTGCACGGAACAAGCGGAGTGACGAAGGTGCGTGGAGTGCTGCAGCAGCCACAAGATATGGCAACCAATTCCAGAGGCAAGGAAATTTCAGCCCAAACCGCCCTCAACCCTACTACGGTACGAAATTTCAGTCACCTTCCAACCCATACAAACCCTCTCGTTTTCCTCAGTCAAGTCCTCCCTATAAGTCCAGTCCCTATGTCACCGATTCTGACCATAGCGGACCGATCATCGATCTCCCTCAAGCCGTCGTCAACGAGTCCAGCCGTGCCACGCCAGTGCCACCAGCAGCTACTCAACCAAGTGGAGATGAAGTTCAGCCATCAAATGAAGACAATCCACCGCAGCAAGTCACCGTTCCATCACCACCAAAGGAGCAGCAGCCAACAGTCACAAACCAGCCAGCTATATCAACACCAACCTCACAATTTCAACGCCAACCGGATCAGCCCACCACTACGCCATCAAACCCATCACCAGCCATCACTCCAGAGGCAACTACAGAAGCTCATCATCATCCCATGCAGCAGCAATCAACAGCTACAAGACCCCAAGTACCTACATCAACACCATCTACGACTCTTCCTAGCAACAAGTCAACCGTCACCGCAACACCTCGTTCTCATACCACACGTTCATCACTTGTTCCAACGTCAAGCCAGCTCATAGCACGAGGATCACTTCAGCGAGTCACCACCAACACCAGCTCCAACAGTCCACTTCTTCACCCAAGACCTTTCTCAACTTCACCCCCACGTCCCGGATTCGGTCGTCATCAGTTACCACCATCTTCAACACCAAGCAACAACACCAACCAGCCCCAACCATCACCACCTCTCGACATGAGGAAGATGTAGCCGCCGGTAGACTTGCGTGTGCTCAATTCTCCCGCCCAATCTGCATCGGTAAAGCCTTGGAGGGAGCTTGCATATGGGCTGGCTTGGAAGAGAAGACCATGATTAGAAGTACCTTTGAGATACCGAAGAGCTCGCTTGGCTGCATGCATATGAATAGGTGAAGGGGCACTCATGTGTTGAGCTAGCTTAGATACCGTGAATGCTAAGTCGGGCCTTGTGCATAGGGCTGCATATATGAGACACCCAACCTGACTTTGGTAGAGAGCTAGGTCTTGTGGGGATACCTTAAGTGAATTCTCACCATGATGCTCACTCTCCTCAAGACACAACTCCTTAATACCTATGATATCAAGGCTTGACTCTCTCTCTTCATAGGGTTGATGTGAAGACAAAGGGACAAAGTGGGAAGGAAGTGGGGTAGGTGATGGCTTGCTATCATCAAGTCCAAACCTCTCAAGGACCTTTTGGATGTACCTTTGCTGGAATAGGAAGATGGACCGTGACTTACGATCTCTCACAATGTTCATACCAAGATAATGACTCGGCTCACCAAGATCGGTCATCGTGAATGCACTTGTGAGAATACCTTTCACCTTGTTGTTAAGATCAAGAGAACCTGAGACTAGGAGGAGGTCATCGACATATACCAAGAGCCAAATGTACTCCCCCTCACTCGTGTGCATGAAGTACAGAGCGTTGTCTCTCATGGACCTTGTGAAACCATGCTTGAAAAGTACCTGCTCAAGAGCATGATACCAAACCCGTGGGGACTGTTTGAGACCATAAAGGGACTTTACCAAGCGACACACTCGACCCGTACCGTCATCATAACCTTTGGGTTGTGCCATGTATACCTCTTCTTCTAAGACACCGTAGAGAAATGCATTCTTGACATCCATTTGATGGATATGGAGACCAAGATATGCGGCTATGGCGAGGAGGACTCGTACCGTGGTGTACTTTGCTACCGCGGCAAAGGTTTCAGTGAAGTCAAGACATGGAATTTGGGAACAACCTTTTGCCACTAACCTTGCCTTGTACCTATCAAGGCTACCATCACCTTTTACCTTGATCTTGTACACCCATTTGACACCAATTACCTTCTTCCCTGGAGGTGGCTCAACAAGACGCCATGTACCTCACTTCATGAGACTCTCAATCTCTTCTTCCTCGGCTTTCAACCAATGCTCTCTCTCGGGACTTGCCATTGCCTCACGACGACTCAAGGGCTCTCGCGGAAGGTGTGATGCTGCCATGCATATTGCCTCTACCTTCTTGTGAATGCAATTCTCACTCTCCTCACATGTGCACCTTGATGACATGTCAACCATGAAAGTGAAGGGCTTTTTTATCTTGCAGACTCGTTTACCTTAACCAAACTCCTCACTTGGCTGAGACACATTAGTGGTAGGGTTCGGTCTCACAGTGTTTGATTGCGTTGATGCGGTCATTTGCGGCTGAGACAACGGCTGCAACATCGGCTGCGACGGCGGCACGGCTGCTTGTCCTTCTCCTGGCGTGGAAATATCTTGATTATCGGTGTTGACTTGAGGATTAGGTATGGTGACACGTGGCGGTGAAGCTGAAACGTTTGTCGGCATAGTTGGTTGTGAAGATGCTCTTGGTGGGGATCTTGAGACTAGAAGCTTGGGAATTGATGATGACGCTGCCTTGTCGAGAGGTGGTGATGGTTGGGGCTGGTTGGTGTTGTTGCTCGGTGTTGAAGATGGTGGTAACTGATGACGACCGAATCCGGGACGTGGGGGTGAAGATGAGAAAGGTCTTGGGTGAAGAAGTGGACTGTTGGAGCTGGTGTTGGTGGTGACTCGCTGAAGTGATCCTCGTGCTATGAGCTGGCTTGACGTTGGAACAAGTGATGAACGTGTGGTATGAGAACGAGGTGTTGCAGTGACGGTTGACTTGCTGCTAGGAAGAGTCGTAGATGGTGTTGATGTAGGTACTTGGGGTCTTGTAGCTGTTGATTGCTGCTGCATGGGATGATGATGAGCTTCTGT